TTTTTTTTTTTTTTTTTTAATTTATTGAAAATGTTCTTCCTTTTTTATAAAGCTGGACTCAAATGAGTAGAGGACTCTTCTGTATTATGATGCTTTGAACTCTTTTATACATAAATAATACATTTAATCTCATTCTTCTCTGTTGATCTGTAGCTTTAGCAATGATACCAGATATTATATTTATGGGATGTTAGTCCTATATAGATAATTACTCAACGTAATGTTTTTCAAATATATTAATTTTCCAGCAAAATAGAACTATATTATAATAATTTCTTAAAACTAGAATTTTATTTATTCTGTTCATGAAACACATTCCAACAAAATTCCCTGGACAGATCATCTCCTTTTTCTTTTCTGATAGTCATTTAATAAGTCAGTGATTCTCTGTAGCACTTATTTTGTAATTTTTCAGACATTTAATTTTTTTAAATGATTGTGGAAAGAGAGAAGGAATAATGACATGGAATAATACTACATTACAACTTACCATCACTCTGTGTTTGAGGTTGGTTAGCCTACCATGCATAAACATTGGTGGTAAGAAGTAAGTGCACACTTCATGTGGGCAAAAAATGAGTTTCCCAAGTGTAAAGTGAAGGTATTAAACGAGGTAAAATTAAACAGCTCCTTAATATAAAATGTTACATGAAATTTATAAGGATGAAGAAATGACTATAGCAAATTTTTACTGATATAAAAGATTATGAATAGGCATAAAAGTGTCAATTATAATGAAAAAAAATCACTCATTCATTCATAAGTGCCTACTATTTGCCAGGCACCATTTTAGATACTGAAAATAATCATAGGATAAAACAGGTGAAATGAAAATGGGGAATGTGGAAAATAGGGTATTTAAAATAGAAAATTGTCTTTCAGAAGATGGATAAAAATTTTAGTTTAGATTTGAAAGGTAGATTCATTTTGAAAGGATAAATGAACATAGAAATGCTTCTGCAATGATCATGCCACTATGTTGCATAAGAAGTAAACAGAACATAGTACAGCTCATTCAAGAGAAACCAAAAACAATACTAATTGCTCAGAGATTATGATATTTTCATTATGACCACAAAATGAACCTGCTAAGACTGTGGTAAGTATCTCTAATATCCCTGAAATCCTAGAAAGCATTTTTGCCCTATGCCAAAGCAAAGGAAATATTGATCAGTTTCTTTAACAACCCTGCTTATGTGTATTTCACTTAGAGTCAAAATGTCCAGTCAGGTTTCCCCTCCCCAAAAAATCTCATGTATTTGGTAGATTCCATGTGAAGCAAAAGGAATAAATGATGGTTCTGAACATTTTATTCAGGATGATTTCTATGAGATTTTCTTAAAACTAAAATAGTACTACCAAGGTTTATCACACAACTATTTACAAACTGTTGCTTTACATCTAAAGAATAAAGATTTGTCACCATCAAAGGCATTCAAATAAGGTGATAGAACTTGAATGCCCAAACTGTAAAATACTGGTTCCAAATGTATTATGAGCAATGACTGCAGCCAAAGATTAAGAGCTTTTTAATTCATAAATTCATAAAAATTCATTAATTCATAAAAATGGTATAAGTAGTTTAGAAGCATATGATCCAGTGTGTTTTACAAAAAGAGCATTTTATAGCCAGACTTCATATGTAACTAACTTGTGTGTGATTATATGCAATGGTTATTTTTTTTTCTTTTTTACTAATGACATTTGACATAATTGTGATAAATTTCCCTATCTAGAGGGTTCTCTTTGCCCATTTTATTTTGTGAGTTAGTAGCACAAACCTGCTTGGTTCCTATGATAATTTTAACCCCTAACAGTGGTAGTGGGTGACTGAGAAAATAGTTCTGCTATCATTATACCATGCTGAGAATTTATTTTAGGTAAATGTTAAAAGAGGTTTTCAAAAATAACCCAAAACAAATATGCCAATTTACTGGGATTTTCCAGACTGACTTAAATATTAAAAATTCAAAAAGGTTGGCTTCCACATGTGCTATTTGTTTCTTACCAGTTCTGTAGCTTCATTTGCAAGATCTTTGGCTTCTCTGGCAACTTTTTCAGCTTCATCAATATTGTCTTTAATATTGCTGTAAGCGTTGAAGGCTGCAGTGGCATTGAAGGAGATATTTTTAGCTTCATCAAGGATTCTGGTGGGATGATTCAAAAAAAGAATGTCAGGTCACTCGATGGTACTCAGGTACTCAAGTGAAGAACATCCTAACTATAAGAAATCTGGCTTCCAAATGATCATGGCCAGTGTAACTATCACAATTCTGAATCATAGTGAGGTAACTACTTATTATATTGTCTGTAGTTTTCTACAACCTAAATTTATATTTCTAAATAATTCAGCTGTGAAATACTACCAACATATCTTAGAAACCCATAGCAACCTCCTCTGCAACCATGTGCTCAAGCAGGTGTGTGATATGAGACAATTCTTCACCTTATTTGTGAAGCATGCTGTGAGATTCAAAGCACTTGTACTACATTGCTGGAATTAATATCATAAAATCTTTCTGGCATAGGTGCACTTCCCAGAGGAGATCAAGTGAGTCTCAGAAGGTTAAATGGCCTGTTTCAGGACAAATGACCAATATGTCCCCAAGTCAGGACTTAGAGCCTGGGTCTGATGACAGCTAGCTTTCTGTTTCATCTACCACCCACCCTTCACTATAACGTGGCAAATGCTTGTCATAAAATGATACTGCATATATTGTCCAAGGTCTTCAGAAATTAATATTGTTTTCTTTGTAATAGTAAGAATTAAGTATGAGAACAAAGCCTTCCATGTGATGTAGATTTATTTGGGCAAATTATTCTTGAGGCTAATAGCACCTCCATTAATCATGAAAATCCCAAAATTGTAGGAGACGCATATCAGTTATACACAGAAGGCTGTTTGTAAGTCAAATATATACTTCCTTCTTTTCTCTCCCTCCTAGGACCTATATAATAATTCCAGCTAGAATAAACAGTTATTTTACAGGAGAAAATGTAATGGCTCCCTGGAGCGTAAAAGAGGGGGAAAAAAAGAAAGCCACCTTTTTAACAACATATTGTTTTGATTCCATTAGAAATATAAAACTGAAATTTGAAACAGAATGTGTTTTATATGTGTTATTTAAAATGCTAATAAGGCAACCACTGTGCTTTCTAATAAAGAACAGAAAATAATTTTCTTCTAAGTGTAGCCTAGGGCTATGTTCGCTTCCTACTAAGCCATATTTGAATGTACTTGTAACTCAGACTTTTGATGCTGCTCCAGTAGAGCTTTGCCCAGACCCTCCTAATTAAGCATTTCCACAGGAAGGCCATGTAGCTAGTATTTTCACAGTTAACAGCAATCAGGATTTGAAAATGATTCTCTACCATTTATGCTAGTCAAAACCTTTGGACAATCATCAAAATACACAAACATTTCCAACATAAATGACATACCCATCAAGGACAGCAGATGAGTCATTCAACTGAGCTGCATGGCTCTCAGCCTGGGACACCTTCTCAGCAAGCTTCCTGTCCTTTATTTCTTGGGAGAGGTCATCTATTTTATCTTTAAGCTCCTCAGACATAGGTGGCAATTTAGTTTGGATGTCTTCAACATACTGATATGTAGAGAAGAGGGTATTTTAAGTAAGTGAATTTAAGCCTTCTCTCTTTTACTAATTTCTCTATGAGACATAACTACAAGTGTTTAGGTTTTCTTTTTTTTTTTT